ACACGACTGCACGCTGGCTTAGGCCAACACTCTAATTAAGTGAGCTACTTCACGAACTCAGTGACGAACGAACCTTGTGGCTATTTCACCCTTGAAATCGTATTCAAAGTCTAACGGCAGGCGGCGGTTAGCTGGGTCAGGTTATTCGCTTGGTCAGGTTATTACTGGTGAGCTTCGGAATATGAGCACTCTGCGCGGCGTCCTGTCGTTCACCAGAGCGCCTCGTGCTGCTCGACTGACTGCGAATGTATTCGGTTGACCTGTGGCAGAATGCACGCGCAGCGGCGCGCTTTCTACTACCCGATCGGTGCTTGTCGTAGTTCTCTCTTTGGCCTTGTTCAGTCCATTGGCGAAAAATCCGGAGGATGGCAGTATCGAACCGCGTCGTCATCCTTGCTGCCTGCTGCAGGATAGCTACCATACTATGTCGTTTTACTAGTTGGTTGCGCCAGTCGTCTCGTCGTGAGGCTTGGAGTGCGACCACGTGAGGGGTGGTGAGCGTGGTGGTGGTGCGCACGACCAACTTGTCATTTGTCCACTTGTTAAGTCTCCAGCGTAATTGAGATTGTCATTTTTTGCAAGTTTGCATATACTTTTGGTCGGCTACAGGCAACCAGAAGCGTATACACAGGGTCAACATTCGTACGACTATGGGCATTGACCCCAGCACAACTCACAATGTGTCTGTGTGAATGCATGTATGGCCCCGTGCATAGCGCTTCACAGAGCATGCGACGCAATTTGTCACGTCTTCTGTGAATCGGCAAGGACCGCATTGGCCATTTGGGCACCACGGGCCAGTGGCGCAACCGGGATCCAAACCCGGGTTCTCCACGCGGGAATTCTACATGCTAGCCACTCGGCTATTGCGCCCATGCCTTGAAGCCGGCATTGAGTGACTGGGACGTCGCCGCACCCATCGGGCTTCGGCCTCGGCGGGTCTCATTGGGCTGTATCCATCCACGCGCTTTGGAGGCCTTTCAGCGTGGCCAAATGTTGCGGGGTCGGCAATTTGGCCCAGTCATCATGACTAGCGATTACATAAGCCCTCAGTGATTATGTCAGGAGAGTTTCCCGGATCCCGCTGCCACGATTACCGGAAGTCACATGCCAAACGTATCCCAATGTCTTTTGCCGTCAAAAGAAGCACCAGCCAAATAACGAGTCACCGATATCACGGCTTCAGCCGCTGATGCAGTGTAAATAACTGTCGAAAAAAGCAGGCAACGGGAAACGTCCGACGGCATATGTTTTGTGTCAGAGTCACATCAGGCCAACAATGTTTGCCTTGGGGCAGAGCAAGGCTGTGAGTTTTCACCACTGTGAAACGGCTGAGGAAAAGGCCTCTATATTTAAAAAAAAACACGGAAAAAATTGCTTGGCTAATCTGGCAGCGGCGGCCGCCATCAATTTTTGGTTGTAGGCATGAGGTCTGAAACTATACCAACGATTGAAACAGTATTTAAACAATGTCGGAGCGCAGGACAGACCGTGCCGGGTATTATGGCACATTAAACTTTCGTCACCAAATTCTGCTGTTCACCTTGATTTTCGTGATCGGATGGTAAGGTCAGGGCTCAGACAACAAGCACTGCCTAGCGTGAACTGGCTGATCCCACAAATCCAGAATTACCAAATCCCAATCCATCATGGCCCTATCATGACAGACACTTTTTCCATATGAATTAAGGTGCTCAATGAACAAAAGAAAACTGCACAAGATTGCAGGGCTCATCTGCCTACGTTCCAAAGATCCTAGAACGACATGGCGGTGGAGGTGGTGAAAGCACGTGATGGGCATGGACGGTGAGCGCGCAACAACAGCTGTGGTAGCTGGGAATGGGAATGAATGAGATGCACTATGGCACGTCCACTACAATTCAGTATTAGTTTTCACCTTTCGCTTTAAAAAGTGTCTGATATCTACAGATAGCAGGCACGTAATCATGCATTACCTCCTAATCCGGCTTTGAAATCCAAGAACGGAAGGCAGTTCAGGCAGCAGGCAGCGCTCGACCAGTATAGGGAGAATATCGTCAAACGGTTGTTGTAGTTCTATCAGCGTCGCACTAGCTTTGTAGCAATGTAATCCTACCGACGACAGATATCTTCATTGGGGGAAAAATTGGGATCATGGCGACTTAGTGAGGATTTGCGTGAAAAATGTGTTTTTGTCGGCAAAAGGTTGTAAGAATGAGGGTAGACTGTCCCCCTGTCTGACGATAGAGGGGCACGCACGGTGAAAAATTGCACCGCATACTGCACTATCAGCAGTCGAGGCGTAACTGGCCGCTGCTGGCCTCAGGACAGCCGAGAGGCCGGAGTGACCGCAGCGGCTAAACGCTACGTAGCGGCCGCTTACGAGTTCCAAGCGGTTTTGAGGGGCCGTGGTGAGGTGAGGGACGTCTGAGGGTGATGACGCGTCACTCCGGCAGCCTCAGCCAGGTGATGTGGAGCGCATACCGCGATAGCGACGGGATAGGACGCGGAGCATACCGCGATGGCGACGGGACGGGACGGGACGCATACCGCGATGGCGACGGGACGGGACGCGGCGCATACCGCGATGGCGACGGGACAGGACGGGACCAATACCGTGACGGCGACAGGACGGGAAGCGAAGGACACCGCGATGGCAACGGGACAGGATGGGACGCGGCGCATACCGCGATGGCAACGGGACGGGACACGGTGCATACCGCGGTGGCAACGGGACGGGACACGGTGCATACCGCGATGGCGACGGGACGGGACGGGACGCGGCGCATACCGCGATGGCAACGGGAAGGGACGGGACGTGGCGCATACCGCGAGGGCAAAGGGACGGGACGATAGCCCGGAGACCAGCTGGGACCCGGACTTTGGTATCCCGGAGACCGGCTGGGACCTTGGCCTTGATAGCCCGGAGACCGGCTGGGACTTGACTAATTTCGTGGACGGAGCCAAACAACAGGCCTACATTTTCCCTTCATCTGAGTACCACAGATTTTATGACTCATCTGAAGTGGCGGATTTCTCATAGGACCTGAAAACTATCCTGGACCCATAAGGTGTGTGAGATTTGCTATGCAGGTCAAGAGCCAGTGATGCACCATGCCGTCATTGGCGCAGTGAAGGCTGGGGCGGTACAGTGCCTGGAGCAAGGTGGGGGCGACATGGAGCACGTGCTGCACTGTCGAACCTGGGAACGGCTTGGAGAGTCCAGTGGTCAGACTCATAATAACATCGAATGCCCTTCACATCAAAGCGTCACTCGTGTTACGAAGGAAATATTCGTCTGGATTATGCCTGACTTCAATCCGCCCGCTTTTCTTGGAACGCCCTGCATGTATGAACAACGTAATACGAGAAACCCTCGCGAATACCTCAATACAGGACGGAATTTTAATCGAGATCAATCTTGTGGCCTAAATGTGGTTGGAAATGATCGGTTTTGCCAATAAGAGAAGGCTGCATCGTTTCGGTACCCCCCCCCCCCCCCCCGCCCGCTCCCCCCCCCCCCCACACACACGCACTTCCATCCACCAACCAACAAGACGGATTTTCAGTTTGGCTTTCGAAATTCAACGTGTTGAAGATCCCTGTCCATTAGCTTGCCTTGCTTTTTGCTTTACATTTACATCGCGTGTGTTCTAGGCTCGCTTGGTTCTCTGAAAACGTTCTTGATGTCCGTCACCAAGCTGATTGCCGTTGTAATACCTGAACGAAACATATCAGGGATGCGTGAACGATTGTTCAGTGTGAAGTCGGTCCCGCTTTATTCTTTCAAACGTCGTCCATTTTCGTCGATCAGACCCTATGTGTAAGTTATTGGGAAAGGGGCGAGCCAGGGACTGGACAGCTGACCTTTCAACTAAGAATCTTTCTCAACGGATTTGGCTCACTGTATTTTGACCAATGACAATTTTATGGTTTATTTTTACCATTTCCTAAAACAGTTCTTCCTTTCTGCGCAATGATGATCATACCAGTACATCATGTCGAAAAATGGTGAGCAGTGAAATCATTCACCTTTTCGTCATTTACGTAACATTCAAGCAAACATATTGGAGGGGCTCGCAATAGCATGGGGGGTAGGGGGGGGGGGGTAGGAGGAAGCTGTCAACATTGGCGGACTAGGGCCCTCACATGAAAACATAGATCGTCACTCGTGGTGTCATTATTTGTCAAGGCCATTGACCCAAACAGACGCTTGGTCACAGTAGGCTGCTATATTTGCACATCCCTTGAATTTACACAGAGCTTGGGATTCGGTGTAACTTAGAATTCTAACCCTATGTTAGTGGTTGGACCAGATTTGGACTCAGAGTTGAAATGCCAAGATTTTGGAGGATTTTTGAATCTTTCCAATGCAGTTTCAACTTTTAAACTTCGCCGTGAATCGCTGTTTTTGATAACGGCACCGATGTGGGGAGGGATCGATACGACTCCCTGGCGTTTCCAAATAAATGTGGATGGAGCCTGGCGGAAAACATCAGCGGATCGTCCTCAGCGTCATCTTGCGATTGGTTATAGTTTGTATGTTGTTAGGTTAACAATTGATCCCATTTTGCTAGGTCAGAGGTCAAAGTTTCCAGAAAATAAAACGCGGCTCTTATACTGCAGCAATAACCGCCCACTGCGCACGCCACACAGCATCGTCGGCTGCCGCCCGCCGCCTGCCCTGACCGTGGATCGCCGTGCAGCGTTCCTGAAAAACCACCGCTGCTCCGAAGCCAGAAGCGCTAGGAACACGTTTATGGTGTACAAACACGCGGTGGATGCCCGCTAGGCTACTCAAAATTTGGGCGTAATAGCACAACATGCCGGAGGTGTGTCCTCAAAAATCCTCACGAGGTCGCATCGTCCCCCCTCGCTATCAGGACGGGGTTAGCATCGCATAGTTGGGTTATTTTTAGACCTATTTCACTATTTTGTGGTGGACCATGTTCAGCGCTTCTCTCCGTGGCACATTACTCGCTCAGCCAGAACGATAGAGCGAGGCCTGTGTGTAACCTCGACTCTCAGCGAGGGAAAGCAAACAAAGCTGAATCAGATCACCACGGCACCGCGCGGTCCTGTTGTTTGCGACCGCATCACATTTGCCGGTGACAGCACGCATGGTATGCGGGCTCGATGAGCTTCCTGCTCACAGGCGTTTGTGTGTACACATAAGTCAACTGCTGGAGCCAACCTCCATGAACTGCCTAACCCTCGCTGCTGGGCCGTTAAATCGGCTTCCGGTTCACTTCCCCGGTGGCACGGCCTTTTTCGGCAGTGGTTCGTGCCGATCGGCGGCCTCAGGGTTTAGAGGCGATGTCGCTGCCAACGGCATGATGCATGCCTGGCTGGAGCAATCGCTGGCGCGGCCCGCAGCCGGCGGTGCCCCCGGTTACATAACGGGCTGTAAAGTTTGGACAAGTCGTTCGTGTTATCCGTCGACTGTTATTGGACGCCGTGATGGCGGGTGGCTGACGCAATACTAGTGTCACTCGCGGTCAACTTTGATGCATTGCACGTGTCGGAGCTCTCGCCATGGGACGCGCTCCATCCTCCTCGACATGGCACGCCATTATGCCTTGAGGGCCTGAGGCTTTTGTCGGGCAGTGCGATATGAAAGCTGCGATGATACTGCTTTGACTTAAGTACAAGAGGTCAGTTGCTCCCTCGTCGCTATTATCTAGTTCGGGTTCCCGAGTGATGTCTTAGGTGGCACTAGCGTGGGGACAATCTAATCCAACAAACAGCGCGTGCGTTTGGAATATTACTACCTCCGGTGGTCCCATGAGGACTTTGGGCAGTACTGCTACCCTCTATCACGATGAAATCCTTCTTAATGTGTGAAGAGCGCAGTAAGCGCTCATACGCGGTTGTGGCCCGATATTTTATGCCAAAGCCGTTGCACAATCTCCCGCACGCTTTTCGCCGTTGCTTCAGGCACTTGCTCACGTGGCACGAGAGTAGCGGGGGCATTGCAAGCTCAGCCTCGGTCCGCCGCGTCTCCACTGGCATTGACCTTCAGCGGCGCCAATCACAGCGCAGTGTCAGCGTCATCCACCAACCGGCGACTGGCGGCCCGCTGACGTCAGGCCAACCGTTGGCCAATGGACGGCCGATGTGGCTGCGTTCGACCAATCGGAGTATACCGTGGTGCCACACCGAGGATAAGGCCCCTGAGGGCAAGGAAAGGTCAGTATAAGACACGTGGCTCCTTTCAGGTGCATGCATTTAGAACCTCGCGCCGCGACGTGGTTTGCCGCTCAAGCGCGCCACGGCTTACCATGCCGCGATTCGGTCCGACCGCAACACCGCTTATTTTGTTTTCAAACACGTTAAGTGGTCATGCGGATGCCCAGCTAGATGCACACCTTTGGATAGTGGTGTCATGCCGCGGTTTGTTATGCCAGAACGTTCTTGTTACAGCACCCTTGAAATCGAAGATGGTCCAAAATCCGCCCGTTGCATTTTCCGAACCGGAACAGTGGGTATTGAACTAACTGGCAAGCTGGGAGCTGATGCCAAAATGGAGGAACTGGAGTTCCCCTACCCTAACTTCCCAATCGGGAAAGTTAGAGAGTTGGGATTGGGGTTACTCCAACCCCAACTCGCTCAATAAGCCTAAACCTAGTTGAAAATCCTACCAGAACAGTAAGCTCCAGCGTGCATCAGTGTATACTTGATACATAGTGCATCAACCTGACCGTATGCTTTAGCGAAGCGTCTGGATGTAACATAGTAGTTGATTGCGTAAACCATTATGGGGATTTGCATCTTTTTAAAGTCAATTACGTAGCTCCGTGTCGCACAAGCTCAGCGCAGCGCATGATGTCCAATAATGATCCAGACACAAAATAAATGAAGATAAATTACGTTCATTAATGACTGCTTCAAGCCGGAAGCGCCTAGCCCCTAGCCTAATTTTTGGATACTGCACCCTGACAAGGTCAAGAAAGGTACCGTTAGGGGCCTTCAGTATCGTGTAAATACCGCCAGCGATGATGACGTCACTAGGAACAGAGAAATATGCCAACTGGCTAAGACATTCAGCTGGAGTGAGGGCCCAAAAATGTGTCATACACCACAGGTTCAAAGAGCTCGCTAACAAGTAGGACGGCCGGAGGCAAGACCTACGGTGACAGCATCATTACCCTCCAACTAAGGTTTCTCAAGAGGGAAGAACCTGAGGAGGATTACGTCACGACAGTCTACAGAAGTAGTTCAACGCTCGGGAGAACTCTTCTCAACGTTGCGCCACCGTCGACTGAAAAACGTCACGAGGAACGTCATATACGACACGCCGTGCAGCTGTGGCAGATTTCATGAAGGAGAGACGAGTCGCCCTCTGTTGGTCAGACTGCGGGAGCGCAGAGTGGCAACGGGCAGGTCTGAAGCTCTGAAGTCGGGCGTGACTGAGCACGCTTGGTTATAAGGCGATCTCTGACCAGCGTGGAGCGAGATAACCATCATCATCGTCATCATCAACAACAAAAGCTGCACTGGAAAGAGAAAAATACGCATATAGATAGGAGATTGGTATGATGGAGTGCTCGCTGCTCACATACAAACGCACCAGACTAGGACGATAACCTGAACAATTATTCCATCCGTAGTACGGATACCACGCCTGTTAATAAATCTGCGAAGCTATATCTGAACGTAGCGTACGAGTTCGCATGTAATTTCGAGAAACGAGCCGCCCGTCCAGCGCATTACACGGGTCAGACCGGAGCACTCCACGGACGAAGTCAGTCCGTGTATGGCTGATGGATCCGCTGGGCACATTGGGTCGGTTCAAAAGACCTGGCAGTCCACGGAATAAGACCGGACCGGATTATACGGTTTGCTTGGGCATGCGTGCTCGCGTGTTGAAAATAAATTTAAGCGTACAAGACACTTAACTCAGTTTACAACGCCTATTGCAACATCCCCATGGAAGGAGCTTCAATCCTTCAAAGTTGTCATTTCAATTGTGGATAATGGAAAGTTTTTTTGAAAGTTATTGAGGTAAACACTACGCTGAATGGAGTAATGACAGCAGTTTGGGAGGTACATACCAAGTCATTAGCTGTCATGCATACTGGTGGTATGATAAACCATGGCTGATTGGACGAAATACACATGGGAACACCTTGAGAACAATTCGTGGAATTCCACACAACTACAACTATGTCCACATAACTACAGCTACGAACTAGGCCACACACCTACAACTTTGGACAGTAGGAGGCTGACGATACACGTGTAAAACTGCGACCCAAAATGTTTTTTTTGTGATAGGAAGCTCGCAACTTACCTGCAACATGGCTTATTCGTGTCTAAGAAATATTCTTGTCAGATCGAGATGACGGTCTATAATGACTGAAACGTAGCAGATGAAGTGTAATGCAAAAAAGATCCTTCATTTTTGATAGGGTTATTTACAACAACGCATTTGCTGCTTTCAGATATGAATTGGGGACATCATTCACGAAAAAGAACGTTACATGAGGTGTTTTCTTAAGGAATTGAAAGGCTGTGTAGATAAACCTTGGCTATGACGAGCAAGAACTTTTTTATTGACAATACCATTGCTTGAAGACCTTTTCTTTCCGAGCGTTTGCGCAGATGGACTCAGGGCATAAGACAGCTCCGTGATTTTTGGTTATCAAAATATGAAATAGTTGATGATATGGCCCTGTCCATTTGTCATGACATCTCTCGTTGTGATGCACTTTTTATAGTATTGCTGTTACAATCTGCTCTCTAAGTCTACTCATCTGAGCTTACACGACAGAGAAGTTCAACTGAAGCAGCCGAACCAGGCCCCCGCTGGATTCGCCAGAAGCAGACCAGTGAACGAGTATTTAAGAAACAATAATTAGTTTGCTATCTGACCGAAGAGATGTGGGATGCGCGCTGAAGAACGTAATGCATGCCTGACGTTCCTGGAAAATTGAAAGAACGTGCAGATGAAGTATTTGAGGGGCTACTCGATAAGACGTCCTTGAAGAGGTAGATGAATCACACACTTCAAAGAGCAAACAGCGGTTTTGAACGCCGCTTTAGGAGTTCCTGAGGGTCGGAAAGCTTTTTAGACCTTTTATGGCGCTAGTTCACTGAATAACAAGAGAAGTTCCTGGACGCAAACCCGAGTTTCCTCGTGTGCCTTAGGTTTGATCAAAGAAATAAGCTGAGATCACTCTGTCCTATGACAATGTTGGCAATCTTGAGATGAAACACGTAGATTCATCTCGAGCTTCAATTTCAAGATGCGGTTGCAGGCCGAAGTCAACCAGATAAGCTATGCTGGTCGAACTCGTATTTAACCACAAGACTTGGGAAAGCATTTGCTTGTCAAAAGAGTACTGGTGGCAAATGGTGCTTTCAGTCGTTGCAGGATTGGCAAATCGGCCAATTATGTCATCTTGGATGGACAATATTATCTCAGAAACACTGGCAACATTCGCAGAGTTGGAACCAAAGCTGGCTGGATTGCCAGTAATCGGACCGATTATGCAAAGAAACGGTAACCAACTTATTGATGTCGCCGATACCTGAGTTGTGGCGTCGAAACATTAAGTGAATGATTTTCACCCGGATCTTTCTATGACACTGACCAAACCCTAAATATTCTAAATCCGGCACCCCTCTCTTTGTGGTTTCTCGGAGTTTTCCCCCGTACGAGACTGCCAAACGTTTAAATGATGTTACAACACATCTTAGTGGTGTGCTCACTTCGTTCTACTTGCAACTTCAATGATATCCTAAAGTTGGCACGGCGAAAGTCTGCCTTATCGCTTTAGATTCGCCCCCGCAATACATGCCACCACATAGCCTTATCACATAGAAGCTGCTATAGTTGCCTCCATGCAAGCGCCTTTTCGGTGCCTCGATGGCAAGCCCTACCAACTGTTCAATGATGCTGAATGGATTTCTCAATGGGCGCTATTTGCCCAGGCCTATATGGTTTCACCGGACCGTTGTTAGGCAGCGATGACGCATCAAACATTGCGGCCGGTACATCAATGATTTGTCCTGATGTGCTCAGGCTGTTAACGGCCTTTCATTGACGTCTTTGTGCACAAGGTCATTGTTCTTTCACAAATGTGTACAAATAACGATCGGCTGAGGCTGTTGTGCGCGCAATATGACCAGCTGGCTTATCCCCTTCTCGCAAATATAATTTATCATAATCGCCATCGCTCAGGCTGTAGCCTCCATGCTCAATTGCGTGCCCTGACCGAAATAAAGAGGGTGTTGTGCGTATTCACGTCCATAGAGCACTTGGAATTGTTTCTCGGGGACCTTCTTCGGTCAGGAATTAGAGCGTATTAGGGGGTTACTGTTCGATATTAGAGACTACTGCGATACGCATTTTGGCGAAAGATGTTAGCTTTTGTGGACCAACTTCCTAACCACATACAAAGCCAGCATCAGAAAATCGGATGATGACATCACCAGAGTTAAGCTCCCTTACAAAACTATGACTGCATCAGCATAGAGGACGAAACGAACAAGCCACCAAACATATTTCACCAAAAGTGTTAACTCTCAACAAACCGTAAAACGACTTAAATTTATCATATAACCAAGGTCATAGATCTATATATATATATATATATATATATATATTATATATACTATATATAATACATTGCAATTTCAGTACTTACGTCGGCAATACAGGTCACCAGATTATTTTGGGCCATCCAGTGTACCCCTTTATTAATATCTCTGCACATACAGTACCAATGCTCAATAATCATACACGCACGCACTCATAAGAATTTTACAGAAGAATTTTAAAGAATTTATTAAATTACAAAACCGAAGAATTTCAAAGATCCCCGTGAGGAGTCCCGGGTAAATTGACCTTGTAGCTTCGTGACTTTTTTAAAAAAATCTATGAAAGAGGCTTTAATTTCGTGGACCTTGCCAAGTTATGTTAAAAATATGAAAGATCTGAGACTTCGTGGCGTTACCCACGTGATGATTTGTCGACGGACCCCCCCCCCCCCACACATTGCCGCAGACAGGTGACTGCCATATGCCATGGCTTAGCTCCATCTCTATCGCATTTGTCCCGAACGCCCTGAAGAGGCCCGTCATTCGGTGCCAGCGGCTGTGAATGCGAGTTTGCTCGACTACGTAGCGATCAATTGACAGAAAAGTCAATGCTGCTCAAGGCAGTCGATCTATTCAGTGATGCATGTCCCTGCGTCCCCATTGGAAGTAGGGCCGTTCAGCGCAGACTATGCGAGGCAATGACGACTGTTTGCCAATCCACCGGTGTTACGACATTTGAGTTTTCAGGAGTTTATTCTCGCGCTTTCGTACTCCACGGCGGGCTTGAATGGGTGTTAATCGATGGTGTTTCCTTGTTTCAGAAGCATCGTGATCATCCCTCGCCGCACCATCCACATCGGCACCACTGATGCCTGAAGCTGTGTATCGCCCGGCCAGCTCTGAACACTGGAACCAGGGCGCGAACGGTAGGTTGTGAACGAACTATGAGTTCAGTGTGCCACTGAACTGCCACTGCCAATGTACTCCAGCACCTACTGAAAGTCGATAACTCAGTCTGAGAGCGATGAACTCATAATGCCGAAAGCCAGGAGCTGAATATCTTTCACGCTTACGTCACGTTGTCAACAAATGGGCATTACGCGAGACCTATCAGGTCGATGCCGTGGTGCTTGTGGTGACGTAATGTGATCAGCTTGCCCGCTGCTGGGCGGCGGAGGGGTAGACGGAGTCACGCGCCAAGCCACCCGCTTGCGCCGCACGGCACGGACGCTACCCGAGTCTGCTGAGATCGAGTCTTGTGGGTCAGCGGGAGACTGTCGCTGTCTGCTGAGACCCAGGCTTGTGGGTCGGCGGGGACGCAGTCGCTGTCTGCTGAGACTCAGTCTTGTCGGTTGGTGGGGAGGGTCGTCGCAGTCTGCTGATGCCCAATCTTGTGGGTCGGTGGGGAGACCGTCGGCGTTTGCTGAGACTCAGTCTTGTCGGTCGGTGGGGAGGCAGTCGCTGTCTGCTGAGATCCAGGCTTATGGGTTGGCGGGACGCAGTCTCTGTCTGCTGAGACCCAGGCTTATGGGTCAACGGGGACGCAGTCGCTGTCTGCTGAGACCCAGGCTTATGGGTCAGCGGGGACGCAGTCGCTGTCTGCTGAGACCCAGTCTTGTGGGTCGGTGGGGAGGCCGTCGCTGTCTGCTGATACCTAATCTTGTGGGTCGGCCGGGACGCAGTCACTGTCTGCTGATACCAATCTTGTGGCTTGGCGGGCAGGCCGTCGCTGTCTGCTGAGACTCAGGCTCGTGGCTGGTCGACGGGCGGCCGTCACTCCACAAGGTCGCGAGGATTAGATCCTCGCACATGACCTTGGCTCAGACTGCAAATGGCCTTCCTCCACGAGGTAGCATCCGACATGATCTACTCCGGCTCGTCGACCACAAGCTCTCTGTTGCGCCGACGTTGCCTGAAGCCAGAGGCCGAAGTCTGCCCGGTCTGAAGTCTGTCGATGGCTGCCTGTCTGTATGTGCGAGCTCCCGCCACCCGCCTAACGGTCCGCTGCCACGACGCTGGGGTGGCGATCCACGGCGACCGGGGCGCTGACAGGGCGGGGGTGTCGCTGAGCGGCTGGCAGTAGCAGGTGCGGGGCTCGATTCTCCGCGGGTCTCCGCAGACAGACATCACTTCAGACTCGGCAGACATCGGCGGACGACAGCCCGCGCATGTCAGGATGAGAGGTGGGCGACGCCATGAGGCCTGGGTTGCTGAAGGTCCCGTGAAGACTCCGATGACAACATCTACATTGGGGCCTGTCCGAAGGAGCAGGGCCGGCCCATCCTCTTCTCAATGTCGACGCTGTCCATAAGAGCAACTGAAGTAGATATGTAAGTTGTTCTCTGCATTCGCGAGGAACACTGTTCACAGAAATAATGCAGTAGTAATAGCCCTATTCCTCGGAAAAAACAGGAGAATGGAGATATGGATGGGTTGATATTGCAGTAACATGTCTTTATCGCAGTCATACCACTTCTGCCACTGTTTCAATAAAGGCATGTCGCCGAAATATCAGCCCATCTGTATCTTCATTCTCCTGGTTTTTCTCCTGGCAATAAGGTTATTACTACCGTCTTATCTAAGTGAAATATAGCCCACCACCAGCTTCGCAGTGGTTTGGGTCTTTGGTGCAGTTGTAACGGGACCACCTGATATGATGTAAGAGAGACAAGAGTTTCAGGAAGAGTTTCGACGCAGGAAGAGTTTCGACGCCCATGAATTGTGATGGAGATAGGCGCCCGCAGACTGTCAGGGGTGGTGGCTTAACAATAACAACAAGACATCAAAGAAATAATTAATTAGCATGTTTGACGTGTCCAACAGCGCTCGGGGTCATGGGTGTGCAAAGCTAAGCACAAAAGTACGGCTAAAAGCCTAAGGTGATACTTAAACAGAACATCTTTTGATCATGTGCATACTGCCAATTCAAAAACATACTGAAATCATCAAACAGCCAAGCTTACATCCTAACAGTGGATGCACAGTATTTTTCCAAAAGCTGCTCGAAACACAGACAGCTAAAACTAAGGGTCTCGGTGACGCTCGCTCAGCGTCGGGATAGAAATTCTCCTGATAATTAACCAAAGGACATTAGTGCAGCCATGCAAACTCCACGTCCGCCCGTCATACGCCAGCGAGCTGAGGTGAACATTACTGCAGCCATGCAGTCTCCACGTCCGCCCGTCATACGCCAGCGAGCTGAGGTGAACATTACTGCAGCCATGCGTCCACGTCCGCCCGTCATACGCCAGCGAGCTGAGGTGAACATTACTGCAGCCATGCGGTCTCCACGTCCGCCCGTCATACGCCAGCGAGCTGAGGTGAACATTACTGCAGCCATGCAGTCTCCACGTCCGCCGTCCTACGCCAGCGAGCTGAGGTGAACATTACGCAGCCATGCAGTCTCCACGTCCGCCCGTCATACGCCAGCGAGCTGAGGTGAACATTACTGCAGCCATGCAGTCTCCCACGTCCGCCCGTCATACGCCAGCGAGCTGAGGTGAACATTACTGCAGCCATGCAGTCTCCACGTCCGCCCGTCATCCGCCAGGAGCTGAGGTGACATTACTGCGCCATGCAGTCTCCACGTCCGCCCGTCATACGCCAGCGAGCTGAGGTGAACATTACTGCAGCCATGCGGTCTACCACGTCCGCCCGCCAACGCCAGAAGCTTAGGTGAACATACATGCAGCCATGCAGTCTCCACGTCCGCCCCGTCATACGCCAGCGAGCTGAGGTGAACATTACTGCAGCCATGCAGTCTCCACGTCCGCCCGTCATACGCCAGCGAGCTGAGGTGAACATTACTGCAGCCATGCAGTCTCCACGTCCGCCCGTCATACGCCAGCGAGCTGAGGTGAACATTACTGCAGCCATGCAGTCTCCACGTCCGCCCGTCATACGCCAGCGAGCTGAGGTGAACATTACTGCAGCCATGCGGTCTCCACGTCCGCCCGCCAACGCCAGCGAGCTTAGGTGAACATTACTGCAGCCATGCAGTCCCCACGTCCAACCGGCATACGCCAGCGAGCTGAGGTGAACATAACTGCAGCCATGCAGTTTCCACGTCTGCCCGTCATACGCCAGCGAGCTGAGGTGAACACTACTGCAGCCATGCAAAATCCACGTCCGCCCGTCATACGCCAACGAGCTGAGGGGAACAACTAGCGAAGTCTTTATTGGCGTACCACCTTACCTGCAAAACTGCTTTTCTGGCTGTACGTCAATGGGCTGAAGATGGGCGTTAGTTTGTCCACTAAGGCATGCACAGCCCATTCATACATTTATGGCGAATTGTGTTTCCACTTGGACACACCGAGGTGTTCAGAGCTTAGTTCACCAAGAGAGACGTTAAACTGGGGCCAGTAGTCCACGATATGTTAAAGCCGCACAATCTACTCCATCGTGCGATAGCATTCACCTGTTTGCTCTGGTCGTCATACACCGACAATCGTTTTGCGTAAGTGGTCTTCCTCGCCTTTTGACAGCCTCTTTGCGAAAACAAAAAACAGCATGATTTATCTGCTCCACCCTCTCACCCCTTTTTGTGAGCTTGAATTAGAGTTAGGCTGGAACAAGCACAACGAGATTTGGCTGGGCGCACGGACCACGAGAACTGTGGCTGATTATAAGGGTGTCCCTAGGGGCTGATTATAAGGGTGCCCCTAGCCCTGTGTCTAGCAAGGGTCATCGCGTCCTTTCGGCAGCGATGACCCAGCCCGCAGCCCGCCGCGTCGCAAACAGTCCTCAGCATGGTACCGTGTATCGGCTACATGAATGTGGGAGTTTGAATAGCTGACCTTTACACATCATTGTTGACAAAATTCGCACAGATTCGGGAGACACGTTCTGTGTTAGGTTTTGAATGGTCTTTTGCTTAACCTTCACTTTTGTCTCACTTGTGAGCTTGAGCAATGCCAGGAACGTTGAACATTCTCAAGATGTAACTCAATGACTGCCTGACACCTGTGGTCAATGAGTTCCTCGTAGTGCATGGAACGTTGTTTATTTTCAGCACATAAACTCATCACGACGAAAACGAGGGGCTTGGGATACTGCACGTTTATGTCAAGAACTTCTCCGCCAGTTCACCCAAGCTCACTGGGGGGGGGGGGGGGGGGGGGGGGGGGGAGGGACAGCAGAAGGCGGTGTTGGCCTTACCAGCGGGCCAAACTTGGCACGTGCTGTCAGAGCCGGGCTGCAGTGAGCCCCTGTGGTCCGCTGGGTCGATGCGCCATCTGGATGTTGTCCGAAGTCTGGATGTTGTCTGGATGTTGTCTGGATGTTGTCCGAAGTTGGGTGTGAAGCGGGGTCTGCCGCGGCGTTTTCTCAGACCGCTGCGTGTCACATGCGCTTGGTCCTGCCATGCACGTGGAGGCGATTCATGAACGAGCCACGATTCGAGGCACGATCACGGACGACTGGCCATTTCGTGCAGCTGGTGCGACCCGCCCGACAGCTTGGCCGGCAGCAGTCACTTCGGCAGCCCGGAGGTGGTGCTGAACAGCCGGCGAGTCCGCCACGCACCGCATACTCGTCCCCCTGGGCGTCAGCGCCGGCGGGTACCAGTCGCGGAGCTGTACCCGTCTACCCTCGGCTGGGTACAGTAGCTGTCAACCGTCTACCCTCGGCCGGGTACAGTAGCTGTCAACCGCCTACCCCCGGCTGGGTACAGTAGCTGTCAACCGTCTACCCTCGGCTGGGTACAGTAGCTGTCAACCGTCTACCCCCGGCTGGGTACAGTAACTGTCAGCCGTCTACCCCCGGCTGGGTACAGTAGCTGTCAATCGTGTACCCCCGGCTGGGTACAGTGCCTGCCAACTGTCTATACGCGGTGGGGTACAGTGACAGTGCGTCCTCGACAATCAGTTTCACGAGCAGACGCTTCGGCGGCCGTTGTCACAGGCACGAGCAGACGCTTCGGCTGCCTTTATCACAGTTGCCATATTAGATACCTGAGTTCGTGGGGTGAAACAACGGGCGGGACCCTTCTTGGCCCGCCACCAACGACGCGATATCGAATGAGAGCAGCGCCAGATCGTTGCTCTAATGCGTTTGCAGACAGGTACAGACAGCTCAGATACTCAGATACTCAGTGGTCAGATACGGACTATTAATTCAAGTCGATGGGCCATGACAGTTCGATAAAGTCTGGAGTTTCACGGCCAACGTGCGAATATTTAACACGCGCCCGGGTGGCCGGTTGGATACCCTTCGCTCGGTTGGGGTCAATTTGACCCCGCTGAGATCTCGGGAACTAAGAGAGCTAGAAACACAAAATTCACAGAGTGCATTGACCTGTACGTGAACTCACTTCGGTCAAAGCATAAGATTTCTGGGTCATGACCTTTGGGTCAAATCAGGTCAGATAAGATTTAATTCCAGTTTGTTCTCCAAAGAGTCCCTAGAACCTAGATAACTGCTCTAAGAAATAGCTCACATAATCAGTCAAGGTCAATAAGCTTTTTTGACCTTTTAAAAGTCATGGCGACCAAAATCATGCAAGACTGCCTAGAGTTCTGCATCTGAATAAGCGGCTAAGATTACGCTAGACAGTATGTTCCTAAAAACAAAGTGTTGGCTCGGGTTATTTTAGTTCAGTGACCTATTGTGACCTTTAAGAAATCCATGGAAGGTGTATAATGCGGTTCCTGCTATCAATAAATTTGAAATGGGCGTCAGAAACTACACCATACAGCAAGCCCTAAAGTAATAAAACAGGTTGGTTTTCACCTTGGTCTGACCGTCATACCTGACCCTAGGCCAATGTAATCTGTTTATTCAATTGTTGTGTTGCGTAAGAAAGTATCTGAGAGATGTATGGCGTCGTCTAACACTCCGCTGTTGGATCAGATTGAATGATTGCATAGAAATTGCCTTCGCTGAAACCCTGGCATGACTTTGACCCGCCATAGGTCAGTGACCTTACAAGGTATATCTAAATTCGTAATGTCAGACAATCCGCTATTTAATTGTTTACAGGTATGCAAAATCTGGCGCGGCTAAGCCGCGTCGCTCGGAAACCATTCGGGAAAACTTTTGGGGGGGTCAATTTGAGAGCGCGCATTAAGTGGAATAGGTCAGACGCACAAAATTATGCATGTATAACACCTGAATGCGCGGGTTTTTCGAATGGCCATGATGTACCCGCCGGAGATGGTGTTTCACCTGCAAGTTGAGCCCATGCAAGCATGCATTAAATGGGAGCCGGTTGTCATGATTGTCCAGCACCACAGCCGGGATGACAAGGTCATGTCCGTGGGAGCGCTGACCTCCGTGTGTATGGGCGGAAGCGCTGACCTCCTTGTGTATGGGCGGGAGCGCTAACCTCCGTGTGTATGGGCGGGAGCGCTGACCTCCGTGCGTATGGGCGGGAGCGCTGACCTCCGTGCGTATAGGTGGGAACCCTGACCTCCGTGTGCATGGGCGGGAGCGCTGACCTCCGTGCGTATAGGTGGGCACCATGACCTCCGTGCGTATGGGTGGGAACCATGACCTCCGTGCGTATGGGTGGGAGCGCTGTCGGGTGGTGCATCTCTTTCGGCACGGCTGTTGAGCTGAGCTGCAGGTGCGGTTCTGTAATTCATAACGTCTGCCTGGCGTTGTCACGGGGTGCATTACACTGCCATGTCTGATATTGCCTGACAAGGCGTCTGCAGGAGTCAGTCCAGCTCGCGAAGAATTTCGTACATGTGGCAGCACCCCTCCAGCCAGCGATGACTCGCGCACCACAGTTCGGCATGTGCTGCGCCATGTCCAGCTGCGAACTCTGCACTTGCCTTGTGAGATGAAGTACTTGACAACTGAGGTTTCAGCAGCTCGGAGAATGTTCGCGGCGTCTTTTTGTTATGGGTTTGCATACATTAAATTAGCAAAGAATTGTTCATGCTTTGCAGTGACGTGTCTACGTGCGGCTGGAAATTGAGATGACTGTCTGTGATGCCACCCAAATTTCCACTGCTCTGGATTCAAGAGCGTCTGTTCCCAGCAAGTCATTGTGACAGGCGGCGAACAGTTCAGCATACCAGGAGTCCCTTGTATGAGTTTCCTTCTCTTTGCTGGGCTCAGTTCGCGTCATGTGAACAAAACTTGACATGTGCGCGCGTCAGGGCCCTTTCAATGCGAACGAGGATCAAAGGCATGTCACGATTATTGCCATGAACGGGAGGATGTGTGCCGGTTACAATCTGTTTGGATCAAACTTATTGACGCAGGCCAGAAATATCTCGCCGTATCGCATACAAAGTAAAGAGTTGCAGCACACTCACCGAAAGGTATGTTCAAGAAGAAAGCGGAAAGATACGTTAAATCTGTGGAGACCTGGGCTCATTGGCACCTGCAAAATTCAACAGTTTAAGAATAATTTTCATCCTATTCTGCTACCCCTCTTCCATCATAACAGTCCCGAATTCCCGCCAGGCATGTCAACATTTATCGGCAGCGGGGACACCTGACGATATTTTTCCGACCTCTGCATTGTGGACTTATTTTGAGTTTTTCCTGCTGGATCTCTGCTGCGCTGCATGCACCCGGTGGCTCGCCCAGATGCATGCATGACTTCGGTTGGTTGTATCGCAGGCCGCTTGGACAGACAGTCTTTGCTAATAGCTGGCTTTTGCTGAGGATGGTCATGTAGATAGACTGCGAACCGTTCATTCTCCACTCCGTAGAACTTCAGTTTGTCCAACAGCCTCCGGTTTCGTGCAACTTGGAATTATTTTGACCTTAACCCAGCGACACCAGGTCAGATGTTCCACTATCATCCACAGTGCTCAGAGCCTCACCATCGTCCACGGCGCTCAGAGCCCCACAATCATCCATGGCGCTCAGAACCTTACCATCATCCGTGGCGCTCAGAACCTTACCACCATCCGTGGCGCTCAGGACATTACCATCATCCATGACGCTCGGAGCCTTACCATCATCCAAGGCGCTCAGAGCCTTAGGATCTCCACGGCGCTCAGAGCCTCACGATCATCCAAGGTGCTAAGAGCCTTACCATCATCCATGGCGCTCAGAACCTTACCATCGCCCACGGCGCTCAGAGCCTGATCAGTGATGACGTCGGGAACCGTTTCGGTGTTGCGTCCTCTACGGTACCCGTGGTCAATGCTCGACTGGATGCGTCTCGATCCAGGGATTAGATCCTGGGGGTCGAGGACGAGTACACCTGGGGGTCGAGGACGAGCACACCTGGGGTCGAGGACGAGTACACCTGGGGGTCGAGGACGAGTACACCTGGGGGTCGAGGACGAGTACACCTGGGGGTCGAGGACGAGTACACCTGGGGGTCGAGGATCGGAGGGCCCAGCCGGCGTTACACAGCACAGCCAATGATCTACATGATCCCGAGGCCAAGCGTCCATCTGACGCGTCCTGGCCCCGTCCGACGGTCCCGCTTCCATCTGACCCATATGCGTGCGTCCCGCTTCCAATAGGGTCGTGGCATCAGGGCCCGGGTGCCACGAGCTTGGTGAGATACTGGGCTGTCGTTCTGTGATGCTTATTCTGGAAACGCCGCTGCAGAAACATTCCAGAAAAGCTCCTTGACATACAATAAATCACCAAAAGACGCTCACGCAGCCGTTGTCAGCACCTGGCCATCGTGCTTTGTTTGGAGGGATTGATGTGGGGTGGTGCTGACCGCCACGCTGGGCGAACAGCACCTCATGCACATCTGAACACAAACAGCGCCTTCGGATTTCAGCTCGTTGCGCAGTTAGGATTTGTTTGTTCTGTTACGGTGCCCCCACGCTCGGCAGGGGAGGCGATGATGCCGGACAGAAATGCACCGTTGGCCTTGTTCTTGACGATTCGCCTCGTGGTGACAGCGTTGTCGTGGAGGCTTCCACGGGCACTCCGTCTCTTCCGAGGAGCCTGGTGGTCCACGACCTTGAGTCCATATAAGGCTTGATTGGCCTGGCTTTAACTTCGCCGCATTCTCCTGTTTGCCATTCAAACAAGTATAATAAATCACGTGGCCTCTGATTTCAAAGCAGGAATTTCAAGTCTGTAGCTGAGGGGCAGAACAACGGACGCACGCATATGTGGCGGTACGTTCCAGGTCACGCACATATGTGGATACGTGTGCAAGTGGCGGATGTCTCCTTTTCCGGGGTCCTGTCGTGCTGTATGCCATCGCCACGCCGCGGTCAGCTGACACCTGTTTCCTTTTTGTTTCAGGTACCCCAGAGCGGCCAGGCGACAAAACGCTGCGTCGATAATGTGCTTGCTCGTGAACAGACGCCTCCCAGTGTCTGAGCTGATATCACACGGATCGCGACATTGTTCGCGGACGTCTTGGCTGTGCTCCACGAAGCCTGGGTTATCAACACCGCGCGAGCTCCTTTACGGCCCGGCTTGTCATGTCAGGACCGTGAGATCGCCGCTTCGAATCTAACCCATGGATGTTTTCGGTATTCTCCCGGCACGATCTGCGCGAGGCATCGCGAATGTTCCCACCGCAGGAGGGGCATGCGTCGTGAAACAGCCTGCCCTGGCGCATGGTCGTCTAACGCGTGCAGATCAGTGCGGTGCACCGAGGCGACGTTAGTCGTGATTATCCGCGCAGTTATTCGTCATCATACACGCCCAAGCATGCGTCCGTATATCAGTGTTATGTTCGCAGTTTACCTCGTGTGTATCTCGGTGTTATGTTCACAATTGAACTCTTCTATATCTCAGTGTTATGTTCACAATTCAGTTATGCGTCGTAATGCGATGTTGTCAATATCTGGGTAGTGGCACGCGGCGAGTGGTGGTGTTCCTGGAATGCTTCAGATGTGTTGGGCACTTCCTGTCCTATTTATGGTCACAGCTGGCGTCAGTGGCACTTTGATCAGGCGGAAAAGCTACATTTCAGTTCAGTTTACTGTCGGCACACTAGGTCATTGTCATGCGGTGAGAGGAATACTGTGTGGATAATCTCCTTCACATATAGCATTTTGCTTCGGGTGTTCATTTCTGTACCACAGGATATAGGTCCTCAACCGAACTTATTATTTTGCAACCATGTATGTGTGATGTGCTCTGCTTGGCTTCTCATCCAGTCCCATGTGTCCTTTTACACCTCGTTTTTAAACGCATCTGCCAGTCAAGGCCGGCTTCAACGTTTGGCGTCACCTGACGTGCATCCTCGGAGCTCCTCCCACTCAGCGGTTCCTTGGCGTGCCTGATGTTGGAGCCCCCGATACTCGCGTCAGAGAGACATGAGAGCGTGGTTGGCAGAACGCCGACTCTCACGCGGCAGGCCTGCGCTCGTCTCCAGACTATAGCTGTGGGAGCAGCGACTGCGGGCTGTTGGTCAGCGTCGTAGCAACACAACATACGGTGCAGTACATCACAACGCCACCAGTGCGCTGATACCACGCGGCCAAAACCAGGCAGTCACTGCGCTCGGTAATCGTTGCGTTCCGCCGTGCACCTTACATATCTAGCTTCAGCGGAATCTTTGCGAAAAGAGATGCTGGTCCTTATTCGTTTCGTGCGCCAATGTCAGTGGAGAGCGGTGGCCTGCTCCACTGCTGTGTGGTAGGCGCTGTGCGCTTCGCCGCTTCTCGCGGCCCTGCACTATGTCCGCGGTTGCGCGACTCGCGCTGTGCGATGTGTCCGCGGTTGCGCGACTAATGCTGTGCGCTGTGTCCGCGGCTGCGCGACTCATGCTGTGCGCTGTGTCCGCGGTTGCGTGACTCGCGCTGTGCGCTGTGTCCGCTGTTGCGCGACTCGCTCTGTGCGCTGTGCTCTGCGGCAAAATGTGATTGGTGCTGAGGGAACTGCCGTGCTGCGTCGGGATTGGGCAACCATATTTTGGGGCTGCGGCTTGGTGTAGCTTTATAGATATCAGTGTCGTATTCATCTGTGGGCTGTGCCGAAATAGCCAATATCAAACACCATTCTAGCAGTGTTCCATGTCTCGGTGGGCGTTCTGCGCCGGGTTTGTCAAGATCTGTTCGCTTGTGTTCAATGGGCGCAATACAGTGGGGCTTTCGCAAGTGTCGTGGATCTGAGGCCGGACACGTGCCGCACCGCTGCGCTGGAGTTGTGCGGGTACTGCGGTCACGTGGGGCCCTAGCCGCCCACTGGGCGCATCATAGATGTTCCTCTATTCGCACCAGTGGAGGTGCTACGGCGGTTGTCATGACGACAGTAGTCGCGACTGTATGCAAGAGGCGTAGCGCTGTTACAAAGCGTTGATAGCATAATTGGAACCGATAAATAATTAAACTTAATATCCTTATTATGTCTTGGCAGTGCTTCTGTGACACAATCCAGTGTTATAATGATGCGCTGTATAACATAGCTGGAACTGAGGTTTCACTATAGGACGCCTTTTTCCAACATGCCTCGACGGTGGGACACTACCTTTAAGTTGTCGATGGCCGCCACAATAACATCTCGATCTTGGAGGCATTTCCTGTCGCTCCATGCTGTAAAAACCACGTGCGCGCTACGACCAACACCGACTCCAGGGACCATTGCGTCTCCGCTTATGTGACCCGAGGTCCTGTAATAGTCCGCTGCGCGTCGTCAGCGCACCGGACTATTGCGACACGGAAGCTGTTTACATGTAATGAAACGAAGCAAGCGATGTAGTTTTCGAAGACCTGTGCAGCAATGCTCCGAAGCAAGACCTTTGGAATGCGCTGATGTTGACATGTTTTCGGTTCTGACAGTCTGATCCAGTTTCACACGCTGTGTGTGTTCCTCCAGGTAGTTTTGGATCCAACCTGCAGACATTTGGAGCTCTGCCGCAGCAGTGCCATCAACGCCGAGTGGTCCACTACGTCAAAACGACGACTAAGGTCGATCAACGTCAGACGAGCTGCTTCTGATCGGGTCATACCCCGTAACACCTCATCGGAGATTAATAAAAGTGTCGTGCCAGTTGAGTGATTTTCCATGAAGCCATGCTGGCCAGGCTGAAAAGGTGATGGTGTGTGGGATTTGAGGTGAGCTGATGATTGACTGGTTTTCAGCTATGTTACAGGTGGCTGGTGTGATAGTGGGGCTTTTGGTGGGTCGCTATTTTGTGAATGAGGATAGCAGTGGCGCACTTTCAGCTATACTTTTGTGACGGGACTTATTCATTCCAGATGACCTGTGCTTTTGTCATGTGACGACAATTTGTTCTGTCTAATTTGAAATATTGAAGCTGCTGGGGAAATCGACAAGATATGATCACATAGATGCAAAATGTGATAAAAGCATCCATCCATAAGACATTTCACTTCCCATGTCTGTTCCCCCAGGCCTCGTAATGAATTCCATAATTCTAAGTTAATTTATAATTTTAGGCTAACTGTAAGCCAACTTTGCGCTTGTAGAACCAGTGTTCTCCATGTTCTACTAACTAATGTGGTGCATGCATCAGTCCGCTGCCGCACTGCTTCGTCCCCCATTGGGATACTTCCTTCGGCCACTGCAGGGAGTAGCGTCTCGTTGGGTCCCAGCTCCGGTGGCGGGTGGACGGTAAAAACTGTTCATTGCAGGACCTAGTGACCCTGCCAGCACGTGAGCTCCTGCTGCTTGTCCCGCTCATTCCCTCCCCTTTCACTTGCACTCCCGCATCCAGCCCTCTCACCCCCTCCCCCCATACTCGTTTCATCGGGGTCGTCGTGGCCCCTCGCCCGCGTCCCCGAGTTGATTGCATGCTGGTGGCTGGGGGCCGCGCCGTACAGGTCAGTCACGGCGCGTTTCAAAGCTCCACTTTGGCCAGGATATCCGGGGGCGCGGGGTCCGTCGGCCCATACGGGTCCAGCGTCGCCCGTGCCGTCTTTGGGTGCCCTTCGCGGGTTTCCGCTTGGGGTGCCTGGACGCGCAAGGTGGCTCAAATGATCAAAGGGCGGCGGCGCTGAACCACGGTCAGGACAAGGAGGGGTCTTCCAGCTACTCCCGACCGTGTCAGAGGCGTCGGTCGCCTCGTATAGCACCGGGGCATCCCTGTCGGTGACGGGCTCCCGAGCGGGTATTGAGCCGCCACCAGTAAGGCTCCGAGGTGGATGAGGAGGATGTCGAACGCAAAACCAACTTATGCGAAACAGGCGTCACCAAAGCCCATCACCAACACCTCCAGCAGGGACCAAGTCGCCCAAGGGAAGACCCAGACTTCCCTGATGTCTGCAGACTGAGCAGAACTCCACCGTTGCTCCAGCGTTTGGTTGTGCGCCGCATGAGGATGAACGCTGAGGGAAAAGTGGACCTCCTGCGTCTGAATCCATTCGCTCATCAACCAACAACCATCCTCAAAGATAGAAAAGCAAAATTATACCTTTGTGCACGTTGGCGGATGCAAAAAAGATAAGGTTTACGAAGGACAGCTACAGTAAATAAATGCTGGGCACGACGAGCTTTCTCCTACAATGGTACGAGCTCATGAAGAGATCAAGGAGAGATCAGAGTGTCCATTACTGTGCAAGCCCATTCCTCCAAGACTGCTTTAAATTGTGATCGATGACGTGTCCACGACCGCCGGGGGAGGTGTGTGTGTGTGTGTGTGTGTGTATGGTGTGTGGTGTGTGGTGTGTGTGTGTGTGGTGTGTGTGTTGTGTGTGGGTGTGTGGTGTGTGTGTGATGTGTGCGTGTGTGTGTGTGTTGTGGTGTGTGTGTGTGTGTGTGTGCGTGTGTGTGTTGTGTTGTGTGTGTGTGTGTTGTGTGTGTGTGTGTGGTGGTGTGTGTGTGTGCGCGGTGCGTGTTGGTGGTGTGTGTGTGTGTGGTGGGTGTGTGTTGTGTGTGTGTGTGTGTGTGTGTGGTGTGTGTGTGTGTGTGTGTGTGTGTGGGGTGGTTGGTGTGGTGGTGGTGTGTGTGTGTGTTGTGTGTGTGTGTTGTGTGTGTGGTTGTGTGGTTTGTGTGTGTGTGTGTGTGTGTGTGTGTGTGTGTTGTGGGTGTGGGTGTGTGGGGTTGTGTGTGTGTGTGGGTGTGTGTGTGGGTGTGGTGGTGTGTGTGTGGTGTGTGGTGTGTGTGTGGTTGTGTTGTGGTGTGTGTGTGTGTGTGTGTGTGTGTGTGTGTGTGGGGTGTGTGGGGTGTGTTGTGTGTGTGTGGTGGGTGTGTGTGTGGTGTGTGGTGGTGTGTGGTGGGTGTGGGTGTGTGTGTGTGTGTGTGTGGTGTGTGGTGTGTGTTGTGTTTGGGTGGGTGGTGTGTGGTGTGTGTGTGTGGTGTGGTGTGTGTGGTGTGTGTGTGTGTGGTGTGTGTGGTGTGTGTGTGTGTGTGTGTGTACCTAGTCGATGACATGTGTGAAGACGGCTGACGCCGGGGAATCGCATCAGGAAAAGTGAAAGGGGAATCTCGTAGACACTGACGCCATCATCTTGGCGCTCCCGTCGGTTGCAGTATCCGATGGAGTACGCGTTAGCTAGCACTCCATTCTTGTAAGGACTTATGTCCACGACCCAACTAGATGTTGCAGGTGTCAGACGTGTGAACGCGTGGTTAATTAGTGCTGGAGCGACATGCGGAGTCGGAGATGCTCGGACACATCCCATCAATGCTCAGATTGTAAATCAGATGAAGCTTATTGCACGCACTGTGTTGAAGGGCATTTTCTTCATTATGAAGCTTCCCGGTAGTTCTCATCCAATAAGCTGCTTAAAAAGGCGTTCAAAAGCGAGGCAGTCGGCCGGCTTATCCAGCTTTTTTTTGACCCATGCCGGTCTCATCAAGCGCCGCTACGTCTCCATTGAAAAAATCAGGTCACCCGCGCAAGTGCCTTGTTCCGCAGAAGCTGTTGCCATGGAAACGCAGCTCGAAGCAGGCCGACTATCCAAAGAAAACCCCAAGCGAGCCTGGTTGTGATTCGAGGTCTGGCGACGGCGGATGACGCTGGTCCAGAGGGGGGAGGGGGGGGGGGGGGGCGTGGCTCTCGCCCTCCCCATCACATGCCAGCCCGTCCGGCGCTAGACACGCGCCCACTCGAGCATCCTCACCCCATCGCCGTCACCAGCTGCATCGGTGTCTCGACGTGCCGGCCTGAGGCTCAGCGGGGAATGAGCTCCGCTGTATCTCCGCTGTATCTCCGCCGGGCCTCCGAAAGCACCCTCGCTAAACGCCCGTTGCAAGCTCCCACAACTCAGCGCCTATCGCGCCGGAGGCTCGCCCAGCGCCCCTGAACCTTGGGGCTGATTGCCGTGGCATCTCCGGAGTGGCGAGAGTGGGGCCGCCGCCTTCTCCACGACTGATGGGTCCGCCTCCCACGCCGCCGCCAGACGCCCGGGGGTGGAGCCCATCTGGTTCACATTTCCCCGTTGTCTGTTGACCTGTTAACCTGTTAGTTCATCTCTCCCTGTTCACTTGCTGTGCAAGGAGCCTGCCCTCCGCCGGCTCCGTCCCTGGCCCTGGAGGCACTGGAGGCTGCCCTCCGCCGGCTCCGTCCCTGGCCCTGGAGGCACTGGAGGCTGCCCTCCGCCGGCTCCGTCCCTGGCCCTGGAGGCACTGGAGGCTGCCCTCCGCCGGCTCCGTCCTGACCGCACCTCCCAAACACACATCCACCGTCTTCACGAGGCGACAATCCACCAGTGCGCACGCGATGCGGTGATCGGCTGATCGTGCAACGCGTCCACACGGGCTGTTGGAATTTGGACGACGAAAGGGCCAGCTTTTTTCGTTCATTACCGGTTGCGTAGCTTCTTGGCGATACCTCACATAAGGGCATGTTTCCTTCATTGTATCACTGCGAGCATTTATCAAGTTCCGAATCGAGTGTGACCCAACCTAACCAGGGTAACAGGGTTTTGGATACCTGAGCCCAGGCTCAAGCCATGTTGCTTTGGCTTATTCCGCGGATGATTTTTACCGTCTCGACTTTTAGCTACTTTTTGGTGACATACTGAGCCATCAGGCAGCATGTGATAAATAACAGCCGAGCACAAACAGCCAAGGTAATTAACGCGCCCTTCAACCTTTAACTATTAAACTTATTTCCTCATCAGTCAAAGCACAGACCTGGAACTATCTTACAACGAAGAAGTATCAAGTGAACCCTGGCG